ATGCAGACTAAAAAAAAAAATACAAAGAATCAATGAATCAAAGAGTTGGTTCTTTGAAAGATTAAATAAAATTGACAACGAACCTTATCAAAAAAAGGAAAGACACAATCCATGCAATTACAAATGAAAAGGGTGAATGGACTGCAGAGCAACATGCCCAAGTTTTATTGTGACTGTGATATGTACCTCACCCATGACTCCCCATCTGTGAGAAAGACACACTGCAGTGGTAGGAAACATAAAGAGAATGTGAAATACTAACAGAAATGGATGGAAGAGCAGGCTCAGAGCCTGATTGACAAAACAACGGCTGCATTTCAACAAGGAAAGATCCCTCCTACTCTGTTCTCGGCTCCTCCTCCAGCAGGGGTGATGATCCCACCTCCACCCAGTCTCCCGGGTCCTCCTCGCCCTGGCATGATGCCAGGGCCCCACATGGGAGGCCCTCCCATGATGCCAATGTTGGGCCCCCCTCTGCCCGGGATGATGCCAGTGGGACCTGCTCCTGGAATGAGGCCACCCATGGGAGGCCACATGCCAATGATGCCTGGGCCTCCAATGATGCGCCCACCTGCTCGCCCCATGATGGTGCCCACTCAGCCAGGAATGACTCGGCCAGTCAGATAAAGCCAGAGGGGTGGCCTCTTTATGTAAGTTTTGTATTAGTTGTTCTACATCACCAGGAGATCATGATACTGTGACTGTAGGTGTTTTCTAACAACATAAGGAAGACTTGCTCCTTCTTCCTGTCAGACTAGTTTTGAAGGGAGAAGTGAGATAAACAAAAATACAGGAATTACAGTTTCATTTGTATTGTGAAATGTAAAAATAAAATTGTCAGCTCTTTAGTTAAAAAAAAAAAAACCAAAAACAAATGAAAAGGGTGAAATTACAAAAGACCCTGCAGAAATCCAGATCATTACTACTTCAAGAACCTGTATTCTAATAAGATGGAAAATACAGAAGAAACAGATTCCTAGATCCATATGAATTACCAAAACTGAATCAAGAAGATATAAAAATTGTAAATAAACCAATCAGCCAAAAAAATTGAAGAGGTAATTAAAAATTTACCAACAAAGAAAAGCCCAGGCCCTGATGGACTCACTGCTGAATTCTACAAGAAATTTAGAGAAGACCTAATGCCACTATTTCTCAAACTCTTTAATGAAATGGAAAGGGAAGCAATATTCCCAAATTCATTCCTGGAAGCAAGTATTACCCTGATTCCAAAACCAGAGAAGGATTCAATCAAAAAAGAGAACTACAAGCCTATCTCCCTAATGACCACAGATGCAAAAACCCTCAATAAAATACTGGTAAACAATGCAGTAAATCATCAAGATGATTACGCACTATGACTAAGAAGGATTCAACCCAGGGATGCAGTGATGATTCAACATATGCAAATCAATAAATGTAATATACTATATAAACAGAGGCAAGGACAAAAACCATATGATCATCTTGACAGATGAAGAAAAAGCATTTGACAAGGCCCAACACCAATTTATAAAAACCGTACAGAAAATTGGTATAAATGGTCTTTCTCTCAATCTGATAAAAGCCATCTATGATAAACCATGAACCAACATCATACAAAATGGACAAAAACTGAATGTTTTCACTTTACAATCAGGAACAAGACAAGGATGTCCACTGTCACCACTCTTGTTTAATATAGTTTTGGAAACACTAGCCAAAGTAATTAGATAAGAGAAAGAAATAAAAGGAATAAAGATAGGAAAGAAAGAAGTTAAATTATCATTTTTCCAGATGACATGATACTCTATATAGAAGACCCCAAAAATTCCATCAAAAGACTTCTAGATTTGATAACAAAATTCAGTGGCACACTTGGATACAAAGTCAACACTCAAAAGTCTATGTACTTTTTTTTTTTTTTTGGTACTGAGGATCGAACTTGGGACCTTGCGCTTGCGAGGCAGGCAATGGAACAACTGAGCTAAATCCCCAGCCCAACACTCAAAAAGTCAATAGCCTTCCTGTACACAAATAACAAACTCACTGAGAAATCAGAGAAATAACCACTTTCACAATAGCATCCAAAAACTGAACTAGGGATCAAATCTAACTAAGGAAGTAAAAGAACTCTATATTGAAAACTACAGTACTCTGAAAAAGGAGATTGAAGAGGATATTAGAAAATGAAAACATATACCTGGTTTTTGAACAGGAAGTACCAATATAGTGAAAATGGCCACACTTCCAAAATTGTTACACAGATTTAATGCAATCCCAATCAATATTCCAAGAGCATATCTCACAGAATTAGAGAAAATAATCCTAAAAATCATTTGGAACCAGAAGAAACCTAGAATAGCAAAGGCAATTCTGAGCAACAAGAGCAAGGCAGGGGGTATCAAAATCCTTGACCTGAAGTTATACTACAAAGCTACTCTGATAAAAAAAAAAACCCAGCATGGTACTGGCAAAAGATCAGACCTGAGGATCAATGGAACAGACTAGAAGATGCAGAAACAAGTCCAGACATATTCAGCCACCTAATCTTTGACAAAGGAGCCAAACACCTTCACTGAAAGAAAGACGGCCTCTTTAATAAATGGTGCTAGAAAAACTGGATTTCTACTTGCTGAAAACTGAAACTAGACCCATATCTTTCACCATGCACTAACCTAAAATCAAAATGGATCAAAGGTCTAAATATTAAAATGGAAATACTAAATCTCCTGGAAGAGCGAATAGGTAGAATACTTGAGGACACAGGAGTAGGCAAAGACTTCATGAACAAAACCCAGACCACATGGGAAATACAACAAAGAATCAACAACTGGGACCTCATCTTATTAAAAGGCTTTTGCACAGCAAGAGAAACCACTAACAGAATGAAGAGACAACCCACAGTGTGGGGAAAAGATTTTTTTATCAGCTATTCATCAGATAAAGGACTATTATCTAGAATATATAAAGAACTAAAAAAAAAAAAACTCAGATCCCCCCCAAATTTAAAGACCCAATCCAGAAATGGGCATCTGAAATTGGGCCAGGGATGTAGCTCAGTGGCACTGCACCTGTCTTAAAAGACACTTCTCAGATGAAGTAGAAACATCAAATACATGAAAAAAATGTTCAATATCACTGGTCATTGGAGAGATGCAAATTAAAACAACACTGAGATTCCATCTCTCTCCAGAAAGAATGGCTATTATCAAGAAATCAACCAATAACAAATGCTGGTGGGGCTATGGAGAAAAAGGAACCCTTCTCCATTGTTGATGTGTTGACTGGTGCTACTGTGCAGATCAGTAGAGATTTCTCAAAAAATTAAAACAAGAGGTTCCCTTTGACCCAGCTATTCCTCTACTTGGTATCTTCCAGAAAGAATTAAAAGCAGCATACCACAGCAATATACGCACACCCATGGTTATAACAGCAGTTTGTAATAGCTTGGAAACAGCCCAAATGCCCATCAACCGATGAGTGGGTAAAGATGTGGTTGTTTTTTTGGTACCGGGGATCAAACTCGGGTCCTTGCGCTTGTGGGGCAGGTGGTGGAACCATTGAGCTAAATCCCTGGCCCAAGATGTTTTTTTTTTTAATACAATGGAATACTACTCTGCCATAAAGGATGAGCTTCAGACATTTATAGCTAAATGGATGGGCCTCGAGACCATACTCTTTAGGTGAAATAAATCAGACACACGTTTGAGTGCTGCGTTTCTCTGGTGTGAGAAACTGAAAGTGGAAATAAGGACTTAAATTGGGGAGACTGGGTCAGCAGTGTTCAAAAGTTGTGGGATTCTTACTATTCTGGGAAAGGAGAGGTTATCCCTATATCTAGGATTGAACATTTGAAACTTTGCCTAATATGAAAGACATCTTTGGACTGCTATTTCCTAAGTCTTGGGTAAGAATCCACATAGATGACTAGATGGAGGCTTTGAAATATTGGTGGTCCCAGCATCTGGTTAGCTACCCAAAGACCTGTGTTTTAGCTTTTGTAAACATCCACTTAGTCTGGCACTCTAAACCCTTCTCCCCAACTGAACCCTTGAGTTTTATGCTCTAAGATTCCACAGGCCTGGGCCCTCCTTAACCATCTATCTTCCTTCCAATATATATAAATTTCTGCGGTGGCTATTTTATGTAAAATACAGTAAAAATTTATTATACATAGTTTCTATTAAATGTTAAACATGAAAAAAAAAGATAAACAGGAAGTAGGGAGAAGTTATAATAATTCCTCAAATTATATATTCCATGGTTTAAAATATTTCAATATATATGCTAATTTGTTTCACTTATACTGCTAGTTCCTGTTAGCTCAATGAAAAGAAATTTTGTGCTATTATCTGTTTCTTTTGTGTAAGGGTCTTTTTTGTCTATGACTTGTACTCAAACATTTTGACCATTCTTTTAAGATTATGGCACCCAGTGTATTAACTAATGTAATTCTTCAATTAATTTGTTATGAAATTTTGCTTTTTCATAGAAGACTGTTTTTAAAAAACATTTCCTTTATTAGTATCTACATTGAAATTTTTTTAAATGCCAGTTTTGTGTTTATGTCACTTAAAAATTCTTCAGTTCACTCCATGATGCCTTCGATTACTAGAATAATCATAGAAGACTCATCAGGTAAACCACAGAAGGGGTAGCCAGGTCCAAAAGAACACTGCTATAAAGGAGACCTTCCCAGTCCAACCCTGTATCCAAAATGCAGCTTGTTTTTTCCCTAAAGTATCATTCTAATCTTCATTTTTAAAAAGTATTTCTCTTAGAGGTAAACACTTTTTAAATAAAAAACTGATTTTACTTCTGAGCCACCTGCAAATCTTGCTTTATTTGTGTTTTTGTGGCATTATAATCATCCCGAACAGAATAACATATTGCAATCCACAGGGAGACAATCTCTGCAGAATTAGTATAATTATGAAATCTTATAGGCATGCAGATAAAATTTTAACACTAGCACTTACTACAAAGAATTTTTCTATACTTAAAAAACCACACAGAAACAAAGCCAATTAGATTTTATTTCAACCAAGAATATAAAATAAATGCAATCTAATTTATTTTAACAGTCATTTCAAGAAAGGTGTTGGGACAACTCAAAAGCAGGAAACACTGGGCTCCCACACGGCAGCTCAGCCTGTACCCACAGCGTGGGCTATGCTGAGGCACCAGCGCTTGGAGCACATACACTGCAGCAGAGCATGGAAAGCTAGTCATACAAAAAGGGATGCGTGCAGAAAATGACTAAAAAAAGCGAGAAAGACAGGTACACTTCACATACAGGAATTATCAGAAATACAAACTAGGCAGTTTAGAAAGGATATACTACATAACATATATAAAAAGTACTTTCAATTGTTGTTAAAAAGGACATCTTCTGTCCAGATTTTGTGTAATACTTTTAGTGTCTACACAGACAAGTCTTTAAAAAAATTAAATAGTATTAATTTACTAAATATTTAGGAGATTAACAGTGCATTAGGATTTTTTCATATAATACATACCTATCACTCCCTTATGGTGATAGCATAGAAGAGTAAGTATGGCCTTAGGTACAACACATTTTTTTAAAAAAAAAATCCTAAAACAATGACCTTTGCTTATATTTGTGACTATTCTTGAAGATTATGGAGACCTAAACTGCTATATTTTATATAAAATATTACTTGTACTTGACTCCTTCAAGCCTCTGTTAATCTAATGGCCATGTCAGTGCCTTTCTCTATCCCCTAGGAAGATATCACCATAGAGTTTAAGATTTGCAACTTTCATAGACTTCATCCTTCATTGTATAGTTTCTGCCACTCAAAACAGATAAAGTTCCAAGTCTTATTCTCCAACTACTTTTTCTCTTTTACCTTTATCAGAGAAAAGAGCACCATTTTAGAGGCACAGAGAACAACCAACAGTTGCTCACCAGGAATGAACCAGTGAACACATATGTCCACGTTGTCCCCTTTCATTCTTGAGAGTAAAATGTAAGAGCAAGAGTAGTACAGAAGGCCAACATTCTAAGTACTAAAGTTTCAAAACCACACAGATATAAAAATATACACACCCTTGGTTTTTGCACCTCACTGCATGATCTACTTCATTACAAGGATTGTTCAGCCTCACAGGATCAGCCCTGTCACCAATCTACCTTATTCCAAGTTTTTCTGTCCTGTACTCTTGAATCCCTTTTCCCAAACACCCATCTCACTAGCAAGCTAACCCTAAAATAGATCTGTAATATCAAGAGCAGAAAACTTTCCCTTGGCTTCATTCCTTCCTTTCAAAACTTCCCCTGGTCCAGGTGTTCCCACAGGCTGAGGGATGTGCCCCCTGCACCCTTGGGGATGCAATATATCATTAGACTGTCAAAAAGGAATGTAGTCATTTGGGGACCACATTGATAATCTTTGCCTTCAGAAAGCTTTACAGGTCTCCTTGGAGGTCCCATAGTTCAGGGCCCTTATGTGTAGAAAGCTTTGTTCCCCTTTACAGAGAAAGGAAATTACTAACCAAAATCATTTCAAAGCGTAATGGACAACAGTAGGCATCATCAACCCTGAGGCAAGAAGAGGAGAAAAGGGGCAGAAACAGTGCAGTGATAAGAAACCCAGTCGTTATGTAATGGGGAACCTCTGGCTATGCCCTGGAGAATACTGTGTACTGGGAGCGACTGACAAAACCCCTGTGTGATTTGTGTCAGTTCTACCAGTAAAATTCTTTATGTACAAGGAAAGCAGGGTAGTTCTGTCAATGTATAAGCACATATCCTAAGAATTACATATTAAAATTACTTATAAAGTATTCAGGGGCATTGTATCTTGGCTTATATACATATCTGGGGTTTCTTTTATTAAATGTAAGCTTCCCTCACATCAAGAATAGAGCTTATATTTTACCTGTAATTTCCTACAATCACTTTGTAGAGAATGCTCTGCCTACCAGGGCCACCCAATTAATTGTTCAAGGCTGTTGTGAACATTTCAAATATACAGGAATGTCTTTTGTGACACTTAAATCACTGACTTTCTCCTAACATGGACAGACACAGAAACCTCTCCATAACACTGTTTACTAGAGAATGTGGAAGAATAACTATCCCAGGGAATTTAGAAGTAAACAAAAGGACCTTTGTGTTATTATAAGTCAATCTCATGGCATAGACTTCCCAGGAGAGCATGCTGTCACTGAAGTGACCATAAGGTCCCAAAGGACACGAAGTATGTCCTGCCCTTTGTTTTCCAGCCAGCAGAGCACTGGGCACATGGTGAGGGTGTAGCGAGCACCTGCTGACCAGCAGCTCTGGACAGGGAGGCTTCAGGGCATAGGACAGAACTTTGTACAGGTAACTACATCATGTAAGAAAGCTAATTTCTTATTTAAAGAACAAAAGGGGTTAAATACCACGGAGATGATCAGAAATTCCTTCCAATGGAGCATGTCAACTGCTTCATCTCCCATCTTGATGAGTGTCATTAGTCTTATTATCATTACTAAGCATTATTATGTTGAGATCAGTAAGGTCCTGGCTGGCTACAGTATCACATCAATAGTGCAAAATGTATACTAGCTTCTGTCTTAAATCGTATTTTACTTGTATAGGACCCAGAGTATAATAACCAGGTAGATAAGTTCACAAAGAATAGTTTTAAAAATGCATGTAATTTGCATATACAACAATTAGCTATTTCTTCTAGCTCAAGAAAACATTAAAACAAGGCTGGTGCTGGGCTGGGGATTTAGCTCAGTGGTTCCGCCGCCTGCCTCACAGTCGCAAGGTCCTGAGTTCGATCCCCGGTACAAAAAAAAAAAAAGGCTGGTGCTGCTAGTAGCATTTAGAAGAACAAAAAATTTTTTGCCCTTACATTGCAATGGGAGCTCTAAATCCTTACATTTTCTTTTGACCCTGGGGAGTGAGAGGCTCCTTAGAGTGGCTAGGAAAGAACTCACCCTCTAACTCAAAGATAACAGAAATGCAAATATCACCTTATCTGGTATAGCCTTACACTATCTGCCCATAGTTTTTAGGCACAATTATTAAGTTTTCTCCTAGGGGCAAAAGAAAGCATTCAGTGCAATGAAAAGATTTTTGATAGAAATACGTTTCAGTAACAACAGCAAAATTATGCATACATAATACATACTTCAAACATGTATAAAACCTAAATTTTAACATGCTTTAAAAATAGTCTATGTCTAATGCAAATACAAACAGGGAACACTGCTCTTTATTTTAAAAGTATATGAATTTGCAGGCTTCTATTTGAATACTCTTGATTATGTAAGAAAGTTACCTCAACGCAGAAGTGAAGAAACTGAAGAAAGCAACAGTTTCTTTAGAGAAGCCAAATTTACATACAATACACACTAAAAGCTTTTCCTTCAAGGGGAAGTAATGCATCCTTTGATAAGCACTACTCCTTAAAGAAATCCTAGTGCAGTTAATATTCTCTCCAGCTTTCTGGTGTGGGTCACCAGAGGACTGTATTTCATCAAAGCTCTTGAAACCCTTTTATTTATTTATTTATTTATTTATTTATTTATTTATTTATTTTGGGTACTGGGGATCAAACTCGGGTTCTTGCTCTTGCAAGGCAAGCGGTGGAACCACTGAGCTAAGTCCCTGGACCTTGAAACCCTTTTGAAGGTAAACTTAGCTACATGAAGCTTAAAACTATAATTCCTAATTACTGAATACTATTCAGAACATAATGATTCTGGGAACTAAGTTCCATACAAATGGTTATATAAAAAATCACATACTTCATTCTTCATAGCATAAAGCATAGTAACTGCAAAGATTTAGGCTGGTTTTGGTTGTAGGTTCCCTCTGTCCCACCACTTGTCTTTTACTAGACCTTCCCTGAAACAAGATAAAGAAAACACAATTATAAAGTACTTCGGGACAGTAACAGTTTCTGTTATAGATTTCCATGAGCAAAACAGAGTCTGTGAAAACTATGTAGTGCTTTAAAAGGTACAGTTTTATCTGTGTTGCTAAATCAGTTCATGAAGTATAAAACTATACACTACTGGAATCCTGTTTCTCAAACATTAAAATCCTATTAAAAGAGCTTCGAAAAGATAAATTATAGTGATTGCTACAGCATGAGAAAGGTGCACCAGGAAACCTTTCAAAAAATGCTGAAGGTTACAGAAGTGCTGGGATTAGATCAGATGCTTTATCAGAGAAGTCACAATGGAACACATGCGGGAAAGGGAGCTTGGAAAGCTTCACAAAAACCTTCAAGATGTTAGTCCTGAAAAATGCTCAGTATACAAGTTTTTCCTCCCACGTGTGTGAGTTTTAAATGGCATCACACTTTGCACTTTGGGGTTCTTTGCAATGCAGACATTGTATTGCTGGAGTCTGTGCTCTGGGCTGGCCAGGCCAGGTGAAGTAGTGGATCAGTACCGATGGGCCTGGTGAGATGGGTGGTACTGCGCACTCTGCTGAGATGAGGAGGAGTAGCCTAGTGTGCTCTGGGACTGAGATGATCCCTGAACGCTGCTTTGGTAATTCAGGCGAGAACTAGAGTGCTAGAAAGAAATAGGAAAAGGAGATTACTGAGGTATAAACCATTTTTATCCCTAGTCTCCTCATTCAGATCCACAGTAGCTGAAAGTTTCTGAATACATTTTGCTCCTCTGAAATCACAGCCTGCCAGCACTGTAACCACACATTCCGGCAGGCCTGAAGTTGGCTGGACTCCTCTGGCAGATAAGCTGCCCTGGCACTAAGAAAAGCAGACCCACTGCTCTTTACATAGACTAATTCTGGGTACAAGTTATTTGTTGCCTGAGATTTGTAAACAAGAATAATCAAATTGGCATACAAAAATCAATGGTATTTATAATGTATAATGACATAATTTTTTCATAAATAACAAATCTGTAACTAAGAAGTCATTATTTTACAGCAAAATGTTTTCAAAGGTAGAAGCCAGGGGCCTCAGCAGTCCCACCTACAAGACAAAGCCAGGGAAAGTAGGGTAGGGTGTAGTGACAATAAGTAGGTTTTAAAAACTTCAGGTAATATTCAGAACAAGGCCCCCCACCAATAAAGCCTACATCCTCTCCAATAAATAAATAAAGCAATTTCATACATGATTGCCCTCAAGAAAAGACAGAGACAAATGTATTTATTTTTTTTCTTTTGAAACAGGGTTTTGCTATGTGGTCTTAGGCTGGTCTTGTGCACCAGGCACCATCCCTGGATTAGATTTCAATTCAATGTATATTTATCACTTTAAACGAAGTATCTTCAGTGTTTCATAAGGCAAATAGGAAGAATATATGTAAAAGGAAAATTCATCTATAGAATAAGAACATGGTACCTGATTAAATATGTTTATTTAGTTTAGTTGGAACTAGTGTCTCTGGCTATGTTCAGAAAGTTGTTTTTTCCTGTGAGCAAAGTAGGAAAGAACAAATGTAATAACGCTATTACTTGCAGTTAAGATGTAAATGACTTAGACAGAGGTGGCACAGAAGGTTTAGGAAAAAGAAAGGCTAGGGGTGTAGGACAGTAGTACAGCAAGTGCTTAGCGTTCCCAGGAACAAAAACTTTAAAGAAAGGACACATCACCAAGGTCCTTCCCCCTGCCCATGCAGAAGCCAAACTGAACTTGAACACCTGGCTTAAGACAACAGGGCAACAAGACCTTCAGCTTCACCCCTTCCTAAATTATACAACTGACTAGTTGAGCTGATAAAAGCCTTTCAAAATTTTGGCTAAATGTTTTATTTTGAAATTTTTTAGTAAAAAAAAAAAAAACCTATCTTGCTATTCACAATTTACTAGTAGTGATTTTATTGGCAAAACACAACGTAAAAATGTAAAAATATAATGTGCTGTAACATATCTTTTTGTTTTGTCTTGGGTGACAAAAAACAAGGTCTCACTTATAATCTAGACTTTGAACTTGCAATCCTCCTGCCTCAGCCTCCTGAGTGCTGGGCTTACATAAGAACACACCACTACACCTAGTTCCACATATCTTTTTTGCTTATTTGCTATGTAGTTCAGGCTAGCCTTGAAACCACTCTGCAGCCCCAGCTGGCCTCAATCTCACAATAATCCTTCTGCCTCAGCCACCACAGCTGGCCACATATCTTTTTTAATGTCAAGATTTCCTTCTTAGAAAAAAGTCAAGGTCCCCCTTTTCAAAGTACTAATCATACTAGCTTACACTGACAATCAGCCCCAAAGCCTTGAATCCTGCTAATGGAACTGACTGAAGAAAAAGGCAGAAGGTTCTCAACAGAAAAGTCTGACCATGAATAAAGTGAGATTGAAGTAACTCAAGGAGAATCAAATATAAGAACATAAAATATCACATTAGCCTTTCTTAGACATTATGAAAACTGGCTATTTTATTTTGAAATGTGTTTATGTTGAAACTGAAATATTAATACAAAGATGTTTTATTCTTGAGAGCCCTAGAATCAGAAAATGTAAGGAAAAGGGAAGAATAAGATAAAACTAATGGAACGCATGCCTATAATCCCAGCACTCAGGAGGTTGAGGCAGGTGAATTACCTCAAGCTTTCCTTCTTTGTCTTTGCTGATTCTCATTACAGCAAGAATCCTGCCAAATTGTTAGCAAAAACCCTCATCCTTGGTATTTTGTCTGCCTGGCCTACCTTCAGCAATAATCCTTAAGTTCAGAACCCGTTAGCCGTGATGTCTCCTCTTACTAATTTTCCTTTCACTGACCACCAATGCTGCTTGGTGTCACATCTCTGCATGTCATGGTGGAACTGGAGTTGAGTCCAATCTCTCCCCCCCACCACAAGACCTTGAAACAGTCATCTCTATAACTATTGTGACTGCGCCCTTTGTAAATTCTGCTCATCTCATTTAATTTTTCTGTGGTACTGGGGGGATCAAAACCAAGAGTGCTCTACAACTGAGCTATACACCCAGAACCTTTTTGAGACGGGGTCTCATTAAATCGTCCAGGCTGGCCTGGAACTTGCTGTCCTCCTCCCTTAGCCTCCTGAGGAGCTGGTGTCATAGGTGTGGGCCACCATGAGAAAAATCTTTTTCCCCCAGTCCTGGGGACAAAATCCAGGGCCTTCATACATGGAACTACATCCTTAGCCCTCTCTTTATTTTTTATTTTGAGGCAGGGTCTTGACAAGTCTCTAAGTTGCCCAGGCTGGGATCAAACTTTTAATCCTCCTGTCTCAGCCTCCCAAGGAGCTGAGAATGGATGTGTGTGCCACAATGCCCAGCTGCCTTCCAACCTTTAACAATTTTTTTTCATAACAAGGGTTGGTATAATACAGTTTGAATCACAGAGATGAAACAATCTACAGCAAACATCATATCATAGGGATAAACTAAAGTTTTGGGGCAAACTAATTTGTAACAAAGTTCATAACAAAATTCAAATATGTTCATATCTGCTACCCACATAGCAAGTTTTTAGTAAATCAAACAGATACTTGGACTACCTTAATTGGAACCAAACAGAAGTGTGACATACTCTTCTGAGGACAGGGGATTTATGATGAGAGCTTCTCAGAGAAGTAATTGTGTGAAAACACATTTGTTTGTTGAGATATTCAAAATGTAAAGCAAGCTTAGGCTGCTATTTATTGTCTTTCTTGCTAATGTTTCTCTTTATTCCAGTTTCTTATCAGTAAGTTTATGATTCCCTTGCTAGAGATTTTGTTTTCTTTTTTTTTTTTTGGTACCGGGGATCAAACTTGGGACCTTACGCTTGCGAGGCAGGCGCCAGAACCACTGAGCTAAATCCCCAGCCCGAGATTTTGTTTTCTATTAGCTCTAACCTAAATGCTTCTCTTCTTCCAATTCCCTGCAGGATATGTTCTAAATCTTTTTTCTTTTTATTTAATGTTACTTAAGCTTTCCCTTCTTCCTAGGTCTTTTCTTAGCTTGTCAGAAAAAAAAAAACTGGGGGGAGGGCAAGATTCTTTCAGGTTAACACACAACGGGTATGTTTTTGTTTTGCTTTTGAAACCAAGTCTCCCTATGTAGCCCAGACAGGCCTTGAACTCACAGCAACCCTCCTGCCTCAGCCTCCCAAGTGCCATGGGATTACAGGTGTGCACCACCACTTCTGGCTCACAATGGGTAATTTTACTTATCTCCAAATACCAACCCTTAGACATATTTCTTTTAATTTACTAAATTAGGAGTACAACTGTAGTTTTCTTTATACTTAATAACAAAAATATTGTCTAGTCTCCAAATAATTGCTCGTGGGACTTAACAGTTATTTGTAAAAAGCCTCAGTCTTTATCTTTTTCTGTATCTATGTCATTACTTAATGATTATTTTCTCCCAGTAAGCCCAAATCTGTTTTAAGAATACAATTAATTTTGTCCAAAGTAAGCTGCCACTCCCTTTCCTTGTTTTTTTTCTTTTATTTCTTTCAGTGTTGTTTGTTTTTTGCCATTCTAGTGACTGAACCCAGGGCTTTCACTCCGAGCTATATCCCTAGCCTTTTTTAAAATTAATTTTGAGAAAAGGACTTGCTAAGTCACTAAGTTGCCCAAGATGGGCTTGAACTTGTGATCCTCCTGCCTCTGCCTCCCAGAATGGTAAGACAGGTGTGTACCACCACAGCCTCAGGCAACGCCCTTCCCTTTTCAATGCTTATGTAGGTGTCCTTTTCTGATCCATGGTTAACAGGCAACTACATGGGTAAAATAATGACATTTTCTTTAAGAAAGGAGATATCGGCTGGGGATTTAGCTCAGTGGTTCTGGCACCTGCCTTGAAAGCGCAGGACCTGAGTTCAATCCCAAGTACCAAAAAAAAAAAAAAAGGGGGGATATCGATGAATGTTATCATTATATAAACCTAAAACATGCCAGGCCAGGAATGTAGCTCAGCGATGCAGCACCTGCCTACTAAGCACAAGCCCCTGAGTTCAATTCCTGGCATCAAAAAAAAAAAAAAAAAAAAAAGGGCCAATAAATGTTTCACTTCAAAGAAAAATAAGAAGAAAGGAGGTATCTACCTTGCTACTTTTTTCTGCCCAGATTATAAGGATAAAGAAATCAGGGCACAAAATAACTTGAAATTACATGAAATATAATAAAAATTATCATTTTCATATAATGCCCTAAAGCAGAAGTGTATAATTTGTACATCAAAATGTTAGCGTAAAGAACTACTTAATTCTAAGCCAGGTCTGGTAGTGTGTACCTGTAATCCCACCACCTTGGGAAGATGAGGCAGCAGGATCATAAGTTTGACCATAGCCCAACCTGGGTATGGTGATGCATGCCTGTAATCCCAGCACTCAGGAGGCTGGGGCAGGAGGATTATGGCTGAGTTCGAGGCCAGCCTAAGATACATAGTGAGTTCAAGACCACCCTGAACTACATAGCAACCCTGTCTAATACAAGCAAACAAACAAGTTCAACACTTGCCTGGGCATTTTGTGACTCAATGAGATGCTGTCTCAAAAAATAAAAAGGGCTGGGGACATACCTCTGTGCAAAGGTCAGGGATCAATCTCCAGTAAGATAATTACTGAACTCTAAAAGACTCTATTAAAAGTCTACTTCCCAGGCTGGGGATTTAGCTCAGTGGTTCCAGCACCTGCCTCGCAAGTGCAAGGTCCTGAGTTCAATCCCTGGTACCAAAAAAAAAAGTCTACTTCCCATTTTATAAGACGTGTACATTAAGAAGGAGAAAACTTAAGGGCATACCTGATAGTCAGAGGGCATGACAGGTCCACCTGAGCTTGCGCCTGAAGGCCCAAGCCGTGGCTTCTTATTTGGAGGCACCTGATTCAGGCTGGAGTCCTGGTTGTGCTGCAGCCCTGCTGCTGGACCCCCCACGCCAGCTGCCACTCCACCTGTGGTCCCATTGGTCTGGGTACTGCTCTGCTGTTGTGGGGGGGCCTGAGGAGGGGCCTGTGGTGGAGGGGCTGTGGGCTGCTGATGCTGGTTCTGCTGCTGCTGCTGCTGATTCTGTCATGGGGAAAAAAAACAAAGAAAGCCTGGTATGAAACCAATGGATGGGACATTTCTTTCATTACTTGATATGCATTTGCAACAGCTGATCCAGCTGGGGGGCAACCTATGGGTAACTGTGCAACTTGAATGACTGGAAAATGGGTCAACATACTGAGCCCTGAACAGGATGTCCTCTCTGATGTTCTCTTGGATTGTAGAGTAACCCTCTGAATCAGCCCCAAACATTTCGCTGAAGGCCAGAAGGCACACAGGAAGGAAACTGCTCTGTGCTCATTAAAACAGCTGTAAGAAGTCTTCTGAATCATAATTTTGGAAGAGTAGAGCTGTGTGGGAAGGGGGCTGATACAGCCAGAGAAGATGCCTACAAAAGCCAGCTTACATGACATGGCCGTACTAACATGAATAAACAAAATGAACAAGACCTGGGGCTCAGGGAATAGAAGAGCTTATTAGACAAACCAAGAAGTTCTACATAAAATAAATACATAACTAAGAGCAGATAAACATATAGGAATTATCCTCCCTCCTGTTATCTTTTTGCCTACAATATTCTCTGACAGTCCAAGTGTGCCATGCAGTTAATACCTTGTCAGCTTTCTCTTCAGGTTCATCTTCATTAAGGAATTCTCGTTTAGGATATGGAATCTGGCAGCCAGCAAACACACTAAAAAAAAAATCATTAAAAACAAACAAGTCATGACCCCTAATCTATAACATCATTACTTTGTTACCTAAAAATTCTACTTTTTCTTTTTCACTTATTTCTTACTCTTCATCCGTGGCTGGTATTTACTGGATGCCTCCCAAAACAACTAAATCTGAGCATTAAGAAAAGAACAATCTGGGGCCGCAGATTTAGCTCAGTGGTTCTGCTGTCTGCCTCACAACCACAAGGTACCAAGTTCGATCCCCGGTACCAAAAAAAAAAGAACAATTCATTATCTGAATTTCTACACCAATTGCCACTTTCAATTTCAAATCATGACTACCGTTATTTGACATACATGACAGAATTTTTTCAACATTAACTTCATTAGCACCAAAAATAACTGAATCCATATTTGCTTCAACAAGAAAAAAAAATTCCCCTCAAGAAAAAAAAAATGCACCTTTCACAAATACAAGCACAAAGTATATAATTGAGTGAAATAAAGGTTAAAGAGTAGAGGGGTCTTGTAGCACTGTGGACATGTTCTGAAGACAGAATTTAACTCTACCATTCCCTACTGGTTTGGTCTAATCTCTGATCTATAAAATCCAATCTGTTCTCAGCTCTGGTTTTCAACTGTAAAGCTGACTACAACATCTATTTTTATTCACATTTCTCTGTAGCTTGGCCTGTTTAAAAACACTGGCCCTTTCTCTTTACCAGTCTTAATGACGGAAGTAAAGTATTTCAGTAACAAGTGCTTCCCTTGCTCTCAGCCACCATCTGAAGAGGAAGGTGCATACATACTCTAATGTCGGCAAGGGATCCTCCTGAAAATAGGGGTCCTGCAGAGCCTGCTCTGAGGTAATTCTTTTGGTTGGATCCATGGTAAGGAGTTTCTGAAGCTAGAAAAAATACATAAGAAATTGATAGCACATGGGAAGTCTATCAAGTCAGTGTCTTGACTTTTTAAAATGTCAGAAATCAGCAGCATTGCAGCCCCTTTAAAATCTTTTTTTCTGCTGATAAATCATTTAAAAAATTAAGACCAGAAGTCAAGGCTGACATCTTAAGAAAAGTACTTAATTTCACCCCAGTATCCACCAATTTCTTTTATTTCTAAAGGAGGAATAGCGGGGACAATTCCCCAGTAAACAGGATTAGATGAGTGTTTGCTGAGATAGCATTTCAGTCTGGGAGAGAGCACCTACCAAAAGGAACACTTTGCTGTCAGGCTTGACCTTGTGTTTCTCCATGTACTTGATGAGGCTACTGTTGGCGTACCTGCAAGGACACGCACAGCCACACATCACTGGGACACTCACACAATTTATATTTTTTAATGAAAAGCTCCTAAACTGGTTTTCTTATAAAATATGTGTTTAAGCCATTGCCTTTTCTGATAAAAAAGAAATACATTATCAAATATTGGCAAATGTGTGAGGAAACAAGAATTATAACACACCACATTTGAGAGGCTGTATTATTAAATAATTTTGAAAAATTAACCATTAGAGTTGAAAATTACTATATGCTATGAGTCAGGAATTCTGTATCTAGGTACATACTTGAATCTAAGAGATGTTTTTGCACATCCATATCAGTATACATGGATAACAATATTCTTAGCAGCATTTTTGTAACAGTAAAGAACTATAAAAAATTCAATATGCATCAAATGAAAAAATGGGTGATTACATATTCACAGAATGGAAAGTTATACAATAGTAAAAATGACTACATAAGGTTGAGTAGGAGGAAAAGCAAGCTACAACAGAAAATACACAGATAATATAACTTACATAAAGTTTAAAGATGTAATAAACTGAACAATAATTTTGAGATACATATATGTGGAGTAAAACTATAATAAAAACAAATTCAGAGTATCTACATTCTTTCCTTTGGCAGAGGTAAAAACAGGCTATTTCAGTAATCTGAACAATGTTCTATTTCTTTGGTTGAAAAATGAGTGAAGAGGTATTCATATTCTAAATAACTATGTATATATTCTCATCATATATATTCTTTCCTATATGAAATATTTCTAATTGAAAAATTCTAAAACTAGGTAATATGTTTATGGTAAAATTATTAGAGAACATAGAAAAGTATAAAGAAGAAAATTAAAATCACTCATAATTAAGCCATTCAGTGATTTTAAAAACACTGTAAAGTTTTTATTAATTTCCCTTTGGCTTTTTGTATGCAATCACATATATAATACAAGCAAAGGGATTGTTCTTGGCTTTGTATTTATTTATTTAGAACAGTAGTTGCCAAGTTTATTCGAGGAAGTAAAAGTGAAGAAGGGGAGAAAAGTGAATAAAAGTTAAGTAAAGTGGGCTGGGGATTTAGCTCAGTGGTTCCACTGCCTGCCTCGAAAGCACAAGATCCTGAGTTCGATGCCTGGTACCAAAAACAAAAAACAAAAAACAAAGTAAGTAAAGTGAGTAAAAGAAAGTAAAAGTTAAGTAGGGAAGAAGCTGACTCTGCAGAGCAAGCCTTGGCTGAGTAAAAGAGGAAAAAGCAAGATAAAAGTACACCCTAGAGAAAGCAGAGTGGGCCATTGTGAGGAAAAGCTACCATAGCCTGGCTTTGTTTTTTATAAAAATTGAAACCATGTATAAAAATTGTCATGTTTTTTCATTTAATCTTGTTTCATAGATACCCTTGTCAAATGCTCGTTATTTTATTATTTTCAGTGGTTATATATCTCCTTCTGGTATGGAAGTTGTTTGATAATAGCTATCAAATACAAGTCCTTGTAGGTAAGTCTGATACACATGACAAGGAGAAAATACTGCATAGAAGATGAGAATTGGAGACTCCTACTTGTTTTTTATTTATTTTTTTTATTTTTGGTACCAGCGATTGAACTTGGGTCCTTGCACTTGCGGGGCAGGCAGCAGAAACACTGAGCTAAATCCCCGGCCTGTTTTTTATTTTTTGAGATGGGGTCTTACTGTTGCCCAAGACAGCCTCACACTCATAGGCGATGCTTCTGTCTCAGCTTCCTGAATAGCTGGGACTACAGGTGCATATTGTGATTACTGGCTCAGAATCTACCTTTTATTTATTTATTTTTTGAGACAGGGTCTTGCTACGTAGTTCAGGCTCACTTTGAACTCACAATGTAGCCGAACTTGCAGCGATCCTCCTGCCTCAGCCTCCTGAGTGCTGAGATTATAGGTGTGGACCATCATGCCTGGCTAGAATCTACATTTTTAACAGGGTCTCCACAGTGATTTGTAGGTACATCCAAGTTTGAAAAGTACCCATTCTCACCAGAAAAATAGAAGTGCCCATTTTATTGTATCCTTGCCAATGCTAAATATTTTCATTTTTAAAAATTTGTTTGGTTGGGTTTTGTTTTTTGCTTTTTCAATACTAGGGATTTATCTCAGGGCCTTGCTCATGCTAGGCAGGTGCTCTACCCCTGAGCTACACCCCCAGTCCTTTGTTTAATATTTTGAGACAAAGTCTCACTAAGTTGCCCAAGCTGGCCTTGAATTTGCAGCCTTCTCCTACTTCAGCCTTTAGAGTAGCTGGAATTAGGATACATCTATAACCATATCTATAGATTTTTGTTTTTGTTTTCTTTTTCAGTTCAGGCTGGCCTTGAATTCACTATGTAGTCTCAAGCTGGCCTCAAACTCATTACAAACTTGTCTCAGTCTCCTGAGTAATGGGATTACAGATGTGTACCACAATGCCCAGTCTAGGTATACATGTTAATAACTCCCACTCTTTCTCTCTTTATCTCCCCCCCTCCTTCCTTTCTTCCCCTCTCTCCATCACCTTTGCTCTCCTCTTCTCTCAACATACATGTCTCTACCAGTCTGTTTTACTCAGATCCTGAGTCATGTGTTATTTCTGCCATCCTTCCTGGTTTCCCAATCCAGTGTTTCAGCCAACAGCCATTACTCAGACAAGAATAGGTCCACAACTGTGGCCTTGAACTGAGATCTTTATCACACTAAACAGAACTGACATTTAAACTATCTGCTGACCCTAAAACACTTAAGTTTCTAAATACGATAGCCTAAATTAAGTATATATGTTAACTGCATCTGGAATATAACATTCAAATCATGAACATAATTAATACACTAAAATCTAAGTTTCTAATTAAATAATAATCTACAACTCGTTTTTTAAAAGTTTAGTTTAAGTTTTCTCATTGAGGTTATGACCTATATTAATGCTATGGCTTGAATATTTGTATCCCCTCCACAATTAGTTGAACCCTAATACCCAATGCAACAGTGTTAGCAGTTGGTACCCTCAGGAGGTCATCAGGTCAAGAAGGGTTCTGCCCTCATGAATGCCAGTAATGTCTCATTAAAGAAGCTTCACACAGCAACAAGGCATCACTGTACAAGCAGAGAGCAGCCCTCACCCGACACTGAACTCATGGCTCCTTGATCTGGGACTTCCCAGCCTCCAGAATTGTAAGAAAATACATTTCTGATGTTTATAAATTTCTCAGTCTAATGCATTTTTTAAATAGCAGCACAAATAGACCAAGACAGTGATGGCAAACCTTTTAGAGCTTTCAATGATACAAACAGCCCATGTGCCACAGGTCTGCCACCCCTGGACTAGGGTAATATAGAATTACTTACGTTGTTCTTCTAAAGTCTTTTTGAAGTGTAGGATATTCTGGCATCTTTCTAATATCTTCCCAGTCTTTATCTTACCAAAAAAGAAAAACAAATTGAACACTGTTATAGAAAATAACATGTTAAATCTTATTTAAAATTGAATTGTTTTAGTTTACAAATAGACTATTTTAGAAAAGGAATGGTTCTGAAATATAACTGAAAATATAATTTTGAAAAGGAAAATAAATTACCTGCAGGAAACCCCATGACGCTAAATATCCGATCTAGTTGATCGTGATGAAAGGGATTGCTTGTTTTTATATCTTCCTGACGACAGTGAAAAATAGGTTCTGAAGTCAACAATTCAGCAAATATGCAACCGATTGCCCATATATCTATGAAGCAGAAAAATCAAGTTTTTGTACAAATGTATTACATTTCCTTAGTTAAAATTCCTTGTATAATTTCAATATAAATAAAAGAACACTTTTCAATAAAACAATATACAAAATATAATAAATCTATTAAGAAAACATATACTCTATATGTGACATGAAATAACTATATCATCATGTTAACAGATTGGAAGCCAAATAAAAACATTTATATGTAAATTTCCTCATGTAGATAAACTTAGGAAAAAGCAGCATGACAAGCAATGCATTATTTTTTTTTCTTTTTTTTTGGTTGTTTTTTGAGTCTATCTAGTTCAGGCTGGCCTTGAACTCTGGTCTCTCCTGCCTCAGCCATTCAAGTGGTAAGATTACAGGCCTGTACTACTCACCCAGTTCAAAAATGACTCCCCCCCCGCATCTTTTATATTTTTTATTTTACTTATTTTTTGTACCAGGGATCAAACTCATGACCTTATGCTTGTGAGGCAGACGCCGGAACCACTGAGCTAAATTCCCAGCCCTACCCTCTTTTTTAAAATAAAAATTAAATTTTTTTTTTGGTACCGGGGATCAAACTTGGGTCATTGCACTTGCAAGGCAGGCAGCATAACCACAAAAAAATTAATTTTATTGGTACAGTTTTGACATACATAATGATCACACTCATCATAGGGAAATTTATATCTGTATATATCTTAAATCTTTTTTCCCCCATTCTTTTCCCTTCCCTTCAATCCTTCCCCTCTCCCTCTACACAACATTGTTTCTATTGTTTTCCTTCCATTCCCCTATTCCCTTCCTTCTCTTCACTGCCCCTCCCTTGTTCCCCCTTCCCATTTGAACATTTTCTTCCTACCTCCCAAGATCTATCATCCAAAAAATGACTTCCTTAGATTTAGCAAAAAAACCTTTCTAATCAGTATTAATAATTTAATCACTGAAGCATTTGACTAATAATGTAGTAAAAGGCATAATACTCAGATCTAACAGTATGAAGTAATACCATCATCAGACATGGTGATATAATTCCTTTAAAATAATTAAATGCACAATGATAAGAATAATGTGTAAGTTTTGAGACTAGTCAGGGTTTGAGTCTAGAAAGACAGTAAAAGGATTTGGAAAACCTTTCATCTGAAAGACTACCAGCCTCAGTTTTTTTAACTGTAAGGTCTAAAAGCTGATAGATAATACAAGTATATATAGGCATAGAATAACACTGGTACACAGATCTAATCAAAATATATACACTTAGATAATGTACTACCTGGCTTCCATCCCGCAGGACAAAGTGAGGTATCTTTCAAAATTTTACTTGGGGGAAAAAAATTTTTATTAGGGGCTGAGGATGTAGCTCAGTGGTAGGGTGCTTGCTTAGCATGCTCAAGGCCCTGGATTTGATCTCCAACACGTCAAAAAAAAAAGTTTTATTTACTACTTAAGTCACTCATTATAGATTATTCTATTGGGTTTTATATACTTAAATACTACAACTTATATTCTGAAATTTTAATGTATTCACAATGCTTTGCCAAATGTGTAAGTGAACTAACTTTTGTGAGATGTATATTCACATTTGCCCATTTAAAAAAATGCCACTCAGGGCCGGGGATTTTAGCTCAGTGGTTTCTAACGCCTGCTATGCAAGTGCAAGGACCCAAGTTCGATCCCCGGTACCAAAAAAAACCCCACAAAAAAATGCCACTCAGTAAGTGTTTCTAAAAAGAAGAAAATACTACTGCTAGGAATATGGTATTGTACAGAAAAGTATAGCATTCAGTGCCTATCATATATGATACTCATATTCTATAGATAAACTAAATTGGAAGAGCTTAAGTGTATCATTAGATAGGGTAATTATCAATGTAGTACTCTGTAAAATAAACTGCCAAATTAGGGGAAAAACCCATATACTAATGCTTCATTTATCTGACCCCATTCAGAAATGGTTTCCTTCCACATAAGTTAGCTTCCGAATAGTGAGAACACATTCCTTCATATCCATTTTTTATCATACTATTACCTATCATCACAAAAGGCTCTAAAACATAATCTTCCTTACTGACACAGCCAAGCTCATCATCATCATCAACATCTATCACTGCAGAGTAGAGCAGTGATACGGGTACAGTGTTTACTTTTCCTTTTCTCACACCCACATCGTGTTGGCTGTCACCTTTGCCCCTGATGGTCCTATGTCTCTGCCTCCTTGCTTCTTTTACTATATAGTCACCTGGGACTATTACTGTATGTTGCTCGTGAGGCCAATTCCTGGTCTGTGCTCTATTCAAAGGAGCCAGGATCTAGATTTCCATGCAAATTGCTAAGATAAGGAACCCTCCAGAGTAGCAAATAGTGTTATATTCTGTTTCCTGCCTTATATTAGCTTTCAGTTTTAAATGATCATCTAGGTCTTGAAACATTTATACCAACTTCTCTTGAGATCTCTTTCCTCAGTCAACGATTTGTTCTGACCCACATCACATCCACCCACCCATCCACCCATACTACTAGAGCTCTCATCACTGCTACTACTCCCTCCCATTAAATGTCACTGCAGTGATATCAAGCCATCAAATTCTTTTTCCTGTGTGCTGAACAGAAATAACTAACTTCTGACATGGATCAGTTATGAAGAACAGAATGACTGAATATGTGTGTACTCATATATGTCTGCTATGACTATATTTCAAGCCCAAAGATAACTGACATGGGGATTATTCTTTTTCTCTGACTTTTCTCCTAGGTTCTATTGAGATTGGGTAATTGGGACTTAACTAAAATTAGAAATTAGTGATTATGTTTTTATCTTTAAGTGGTAAGCCTCATTTACTGAGCAAGTAAATTGCAAGCTGGATAAAATTTAATTTCAGTTCTTACTTACTCTAAGGAAATGGGAAATATACCTACTCAATTCTAATTCCAAATCTACACCTATTTCAATCTCATCCGTAGAGAAGTTAGTCAGGAAATAGTTATAAAACTGTGCTTCTCAAAATGTGGATCATACACTACACTACTACCTAACAGTTCATGTTAAAAGTGGGTCTTACCATGGAGTTGCTGTGTAAGAATCTGAGAATGAGACTGACTTTGGTGGAGAATCATAGTTTAACAGGTTTTGGGTGAATGTGCCTTTTCTTAAGGGAGATCTCCTTGCTAGATACAGACTGGAGGGTGGTAGATGAGGAGGGATGTGGATTTCTACTGATACTGTGTATTCTATTCTCTACCCCATGCCTCATGATTGTCCACCATTCGGCCTGTTGTATGTAAGGCATCAACCTGTTATTTCCAACTAACATGTCCCCTTTCCTTGGCTTATTTTCACTCTTTTCCTACTCTCTGGTGTCGTCTGAGATTGTCTAAGGGATCAGACTGTTCCCAATAGTTGGAAAGAAGAGGCCAAAATAACAGAAAAGGCAAAATTTAATTCTAAAAGTTTCCAAAATATAGCCCTATAGTAAAAGTCACTTGGAATGTAGAAGAGATTCAAGCTCTAATTTTAGCTCCTCATTCTGGGGCTACTCCATCCTTTACATTTGCTTTCTGTAGTTCTTTCTTCAACCTCCTCAGACAGCTGCCACTATCCTCTGCTGACAGTGTTGCCTTGGCGGCCTCAGAACTGCTGCTTTACTATGGCTCTGACTGCCTAGATAAGAGGTTAATGTCAATCTCCACATTCCTTTACTGTCCAGCACATAATGATTTTCCTCACAGTTCTGAGACCACTCAGAAGGTTTTCCACTAATAGTAATAATTAAAAAAAAAAAAAGGGATTCAAGCCAAGTATGGTGCTGCACATCTGAAATCCCAGTACTCTGGGAGGCTGAGGCAGGAAGATTGTCAAGTTCAAGTCCAGCCAGTGGAATTTAGCAAGACCCAGTCGAAAGAAAGAAGGGGGGGTGAGGAAGGGAGGAAGGGAGTAAGAGAGGGAGGAAGGAAGGAAGGAAGGAAGGAAGGAAGGAAGGGAGGAAGCAAGCAGCAAGACAGCTAGGGATATAGCTTAGTGTCAAAGCCCTGGGTTCAATAGTTAGTATGACCACTACCAAAACAAAATCAAACAAACAAAAACAATCAACTACCCTAAAAACAACATTCAGCAGTATTTATGAAATATTTACAATATTCTAGTACTCTGCTAGAGTCTCAATCCTTGGACAAAATATAAATACATTCTGAGTGAGTTTTGCAGAAATAAGACGTCCTCATAAGTGAGGACATGACCATATTTTAATCTGCATTTCTTTCTTACCCATGAATCAGTCTAATCTTTCCAAATATGAGTACTTCCTTTGTAAACCTGTGGATGTCACCAGGTTTTTCACAAGCTTATTTAACAGAGAAAGGATTGTGCTCACCTATTTTTAAAAACATATTTTAGTGCCCTTTTTAACAGAACTCAATGAAAACAGTTAAAGGTAGTCAAAACTGACATTAGCCTAATACCAATAAATATAAGATTCCCAAAAGAGGACAGTTTAAAGGAATGTATTTGGAATATGCAGGTATTTTACAGAACTAGACCTTCGAGCAGGGACTGTTTGCTCTCTTCCTACCCTTTGTTTTACTCCCTTCAAAGAAATTAGGGCCAGAGATTTAGCTCAGTGGTTCTGCCGCCTGCCTCGAAAGTGCAAGGTCCCGAGTTCAATCCCTGGTACCAAAAAAAAAGAAACCTCCAGGTTTGGCAAGGGCTCTCTTCTGCAGACTCAAAATCCACAGCTGGGTCCTCTGAGGACACTGCAGTGACCAGGCAGCAAAATGTTTGAAGTCTCTACCATAAGGCAGATATTAAAGCCTAGAGTATGTGTTTATAACTATAACTATATA